TCCCTCTGGATGGAAAAAGGGAATTAGGCACCAAGCAAAGGGATATGGAAGAGGAAGGAAACTGCATACAACAGCACAAGGGTTTGAGCATTTTATTATGATATATAAATTTTGTTTTCTTAAATTACTCTCTATGAGTTGAACAGAAAGGGATTATGGTGGAGGAAGGAATATACAAAAATAAAAGGATATTGTGAGCTAATGCATCACCACATATACAACAGTAAAGTACTTTACAAGCACTTAGAGAATCAGACTTACAAAAATAAAAATATGACACATCCTTATGCATTTCCACCACTTTATAAGTTCTCTTCTTCCTTCTCCAACCTTCAGACACCTTTCAACCCCATCCTCAGGTCACGATTCGTGATAGGATACTTTGCTCATTTTGATGGCCATTACAGTATCTGAAAAAGAATCAGTACCTCCCAAGACTTATAAAATCCAATGGTTATAGAGCTTTAGGGGAGATGTTCAGTACAGATCAATTTGTGAGAGATCAGGTGATCCTCAGGGAGCAGACTTTATCTGGCAATAAAAATCTGAATATCCCACAAGAAGATCCATCATCCCCTCTAAAGCATTCCCCCATCTCCCCAGAGGCACAGCTCTGTGCATGTTTGATTGATACACACAGAGTTCCTCGTGAGCCTGGGGAATGCTGATGCTCACAGACTTCAGCAGGACTGAGTGACTGTGACAGAGGATGGATATGATTTTGTTTCAGCTCTAAAAAAAGGCAAAGATGCCTTTTCCTATGGGAAAAGAGGCATGTTAAAACCACAATGGCTAAATATCCTAGCTCACAGTGTTCACACACAGAACCATTCACCTCTACATCAGACTCACACAGCCTTTAGTCTTCAGTTTGCTCTACCAAGTCTTTTTTGCTTATTAGCCTTCTGGTGACCTTTCCCATTTTTTTAAAGACACACTCAACATAAATAGTAAATAGCATTCACTTCTCTGACCAGCAGCTCACTCAAACACTGCTATCAACACCCAAACACCATTTCATCAGTCTCAGAAAATGTGCACCCAGGGTGCAAATCTGTCTGTATTTCACATTGAGGAAAGTAGAGTGGGCTTAGGAAGGGGGAAAAAAAAGGCAAAAAGTAGATAAGCAGTAAACTTTTGGTCAAAGTTGTTCTCTATGGTTTGTGCAACATATTCCACAGCTTCTGAAAGTTCAATATTTGGTTAGGGTTTCATGGTTTTGGCCCCAAATGCAATGACAGCAATGGAGACAGGCCAGACATGAGCATGCTCTGTTGCATTCCAGGGCAAAAGAATCATAGGGATGAAGGGGAGAGAGACCCCTCACCTTTGAGATAGGGACTTCCCATATTGAAAAAAAACAATCTTCCCCCTGTCAAAAAGATAAAGGCAGTGTCTGACTTTACCCATCACGCTTGCAGAGCTGTGGGCAACATGCACATCAGGATCCTGGGGAGAAATAGTGTAGCCACAGTCCCAGCTGTCCAAGGAAATTCACCTTTCCACGGTCTAAATTTACCATTTGTATCTTTGAGAAAAAATACAGGAACAAAAATCTGTTGGCTGAGATTAACAATACTCCATTTAAAAGAAAAATACCTCCCTAGTGGGACTAATTGTTCCTTTCAGATGTACAAACACACCACAGGTATGGCACAAGGCACTTCTTGGCTGCCCAGAGCGATTCTTCACTGGCAACACAAAAACACAATTCAGTCTCTGGTGTTTAAGCAAAACAAAAAAAGTCATCGCTTTTCCCAGTCATGAGTAAGATGAACTTTGGCTTTTCTACCACTGCCTAACCCAGACACAGGGATGTGAGCAGCAGGGACAGAGAGTGGGCAGGCAGGTTGGGATGTGTGCCCAGGCAGGGGTGAAGACTTGACCCTCTGTGGCTTCCTTGAGCCCAGGAAAAACAAAGTCCCTTTCCAACAGCAGCTTTTGCTCAGAAGAAAAGCAGCTTGTAATGGACTCATGGGAGATACCATATAAGAAGGGATTTTTCAAAAATTTCTCCATATCTCAGGCACTTGGCAATGTCTGTTTGGATGTGGTCCAGGGTGATAGTCCCACCATAGCCACTGTGGCTACACAGCTCAAAATGTGCAGCAGCCTAGAAACCCAAGCTGCTTTCTATCTTCTTTTCTTTCCCTAAAATGGCAAGACCAGAAAAGCTGCTTAAACTCAAAGGAGCAGGAGCATGTTAGGTCACTTCTAGTGTATTTGCAGAGAAAACAAAGCATGAAGCTTCAAAGAGGCCTGGGCTGGGCGTGTGGGACCCTCCAGTGCCAAGGATGCAGCCCTCCACTGCACCCTCCCAGGGGTCACATCCACCTGTGAGACTTTGCCTCAGCAGCCCCTCTCCCTGTGTGGTGAAAGTCCAGGTTGAGGTTCAGTCTCTCTGCTGGATTTGTATTTGCACATTAGGGTTTTTTGCTTGCCTTGGGTTCTCTTTTACTGTTGCAGCTGATATTTAGGAAACAGAACTAACAGTGGACACAGTGGGCAGAAACCTGCAGCCAGTCATGATTAAAGGGATTTTTCTGGGCAAAACCTGTCCCAGTCAAAGACCAGCATGGTCAAGAACAGCAGCTTTGTTCTCGAAGCAGGGGAATAATCCAGCTGTCAAAAGGAGCAAAGCCTGGTGTGTGTGTGGTCAGAATAGGGAGAGTCTCAGTGCTGAGGTCAGCCTGTCTCCATCAGCCCACTCTGTCTGTCATCATGCAGGGATCTCCTGGGTGTGAGTACTGGCCTTGCTTTTGGACCTGGATTGCACTGCTGTCAGCTTGGAAACCTGCCCCTTGGCACAGACTCTCAGGGATGCAGGCACTGAGCCCTCCAGAGCCTCCACGTGTCCCCAGGAAGGCACAGGGGTCTTTCCCCTGCTCCCAAGGCTCGCTCAACAGGACAGACCTCAAGATGAACCAGCAAGTAAGTGCATCACAACCTCACTGTACCGGGGCCACATTCATCCAAGCACCAACTCCCTGCTGCCTAAGCCAGCTCTCCTGTTTGCTGGAGCCCTGGGGAGAAGGGTTGCTTCAGGCATAATAATCCCTTTGGAGGCAGATGCTGCTTTTCCAGGCTTTGATGCTGACAGACAGTGACAGCAGAATCTGACCAAAAACAAATATAATCCTTGTTTGTGTTGCTGTAAAGAATTCAACAGTAGGTGGAAGCCTTGGAAATCCTTTGAGAGGTTTCTTCCTACCAAGTCCTAACTCCCAGTAGAGAGGCAGAGTTCAGCACTGCCATAACACACATCTTTCAGCACTAATGATGCTTCAGCTGTCAGGACTGAAGTTTGTATTTAAAGACTTTATATTTACCTCTGGTGGAAAAACTGTGCCACATTTTAAACAAGAGAACTCTGTTTCATAAAGGTCACAGTTCTGGTCACATTTACCAACTGCTTTTTGAAACTGATGGAAAAAGTATCTTTGTATGCCACTAATTTTATTGTTTTTTCAAGTTTTTCAGACTTTTTTTTTTTTAAATCTCAGTGGGTTTGTGCGTCAACTGTTCTGGGCAATCAGCTACGTCTTGTTGACATTGTTAATAGGCTTTCTGACTTGGCTGCTCAGCTGTGCTCTGAAATAACTCCATCAGACTCACAGCAAGTCAGGAACAAAATGGAAAGTTTAGAAGAGAGAAAGCTGGAAATTAATTTCCGGAGCTGTGTGGTTATTTCTAAGTCTGAGCAGCATGCAAAAATTCTTGGTAAGATTTTTGGAGACAATTCCGTGCTATTTTCAAAAGTTATATGTTTGTGGGAATCCAGGCTCTTGCAGATTTTCAGCAAGAGTCCAGAGTGAAGATATCCCAGGAGATGGGATCCATGAGTGGGGAATGTTTTACCTTAGGGTGGCTGCACTGACTCCTGCTCTCTGTTTCTTGGTCCTTCTGCAGAGACAGTTAAGCTGTTTGCAAAGTACCTGGTTTTTGGTGTTACAGCCTGGCTGATTGAGGAAAACCTGGATGGATTTGGGCTCTTAATTCCTTCAAGCTCTACACTGAGAAAGTTTGGCTGCTCCTCTGCAGGCAGAAAAGCTGTCCATGCCACAAATATTGAAACTATTGAGAGGGTGAGTTAACCCTCTCCTGGCTTCAAAGAAGCCAGGGAGTATCTTCCTGCTCTACACTCCTTTCTGCAACACAGCCACACCCTGAAACTCAGAAGGGCTGCAAGTGCATACAGATCCCTTAAATTAGGTGTTAGAGGCAGTGAACAGCATGGCACATTTGGTCTGACAATACTTTTGATAAAAGGGCACCTAAATCTCTCAGTCACTTTTAGAAACTATCCCTTCAGCTGTTCATTTTCTTCAGTCTCCCTGCTTACTCCTGGGCTCACAGATCTGTCTGTGCATCAGAGCAGGCCTTTCTCCCACCTCCTGCTTGTGCTGTGCCTTGCTATGGTAAAAAACCATCCAGCTGCTAGCAAGAGCTGGGGGACCTGTTTAAATCCTCTTTTTCTTGTGACAGTCTCCACTCCTTGCAGGAAGTGGGGTGACTGTAATAGGACAGCTCTCACTTAGATGAGCTGTTGGAGCAAGCTGTGATGTCCTGATACAAATAACCTCCTCCTCTGCATGTCAGCTCTGAAAGAGATCCGGCCTGGTGTGTGCTGGGCTGACCAGACGCTGACTCTGCAGTTGGTCTTCCCTTTGCAGAGACCAAAATAGCTCTGAAGCTTACAGTGACTCTCACCTATGTGCTAGACGAGACCTACAGAGCTCATAAGGCATCACTCTGCTATGGGTAACAGGGTCCTTTGTCATCTTGATTTCATCTAAACACAAGCCAAAAATAGATATGCCAGGGGAAAAAAAAAAAAAACAAACAACAAAAAAAACCCCAAAAAACAAAAATAAAATCCAGATCACGAATGTCAGGAACGTCGCAAAATACAAGCCAGCCTCTCACTGATCAAAACCATCCTGTGCCCTGCCAGCCTCCTCCCAGCCAGTTCAGCCTCGCCCGAGAGCTGTTCTCCAGCCATGAATATTCAGTGGCCACCGAGCAAGCCCCGGGGCCTCCCGGGGCAGCGGTTGCCAGCGGCGGGGCGGATCAGAGGGTCTCGCTGTACATGACGCACGGGTTGGTTTCCTCGCAGAGTTCCAGCTGCACGCTGGAAGCAAACCAGCGCTTGGCACAACCCAAGCTGTAGTTGAGGGTGGTCCGGTAAATGTTCTTGGTACGCTTGGGGAAAATGATGGTCGTGCTCTGAAACCTCACCGGCTTCTGGCGGGGCTCGAAGATCAGCTGGGACTTGTAGTTCCGCCAGGTGCAGTTGGGAGCGGCGATGATGGTCTCGCTGTAGGTGGTGACGGTGGGGATGGGGCCGTAGAAGATGTCATCCCGATAGTGCTTCTCCGAGTCGTACTTCACCTCGGAATTGCACCTGCGGAGGACAGCAAGGTATCAGGAGCACAGCCCAGGCAGCAAAGGAGGCGAGACAGGCAGGACTCTTCTCCAACCCTTCGAAGCTGGCAGCATTTACCATCTCTTACTGCACAGGCTCTGGAGCATGTGCCAGCTCTACAACCCAAAGCCAAGAGGACTCTGTCCTGCTGGGGAATCTTGCTGGAACCCCACCTTGCTGTGAATCCATCTCAGCATTTCTGCAATGTGGTCATACCAGGGCAGAAAATACCTCGTTGCATGGGCTCCAAGCAATGCTCTTCTTCCTCTGGTTTTCTCCATGGGTGCCACTGGGGCCTCAGCTCAGCCCTGAGAGCTACACTGGAGGCAGACAAACACCCTGTAATGGACCTGTCGAGCTGACAAGACTATTTGTCTTTTTTCCTTATACCACCTTGCCATCATTGCACAAAAATGCCCAAAACCAGCTAAAATCTGAGTGTTGGGAGGTGAGGGGTGAGGTTGCTTGTTGGAGCCTACAAAAAATCCAAGCAATGCTGACAGAGCAGGTAAAGCAAAGGGATGTTGTGGGCTATGGCTGCCCAACACCCAAACCACTGGTCTCAAAGGAATTGGCCACCTGAACTGGCAGGAGATGAAGAACCACAAAAGGTAGGATGTCACGGCCCTGCCTTTTTTCTGCAGTCATCCAGAAAGGATGTGCAGACACTGGGCAAGGAAAAGGGCTTTTTCTGGAATCCCTAGCTATAGGGAAGAGCAGGACTTCCAGTGGTTTTCCCTGCTCCTCAAACGCTCCTCCAGCAATCAGCAGCCAAGGAATGTGCAGCTCCACGTAAAAAAGATTAAAAGCTGGGTGTGTGCTTGTCATTACCTCCACCCAGAGGGGGGCTGACTGATTGTGCACCATGTGTAATCTGAGCTGCTGTAATGTATTTTGCACAGCTAGGGTGTAAGCAAGTCATTCAGCACACATAAAACAAGACTCCCATGTAATCACCATAAAAACATGCCCGCTGGCAGTTCCTCAGCCAGCAGACATTTACTGGGGTACATTTCCAGAGAGACTTTTGCATAGGTTGAGGGGGTTTACAGTTCTCCCACTGCCCCTGCCCCGAGCTGTGTCTAAGTGCTCCGTGCTGTTTGCAGGGTACATTCCACATCAGCAAAAGAAGAGCAAAGACCAACATTTATCCATCAGCCACAGCACCAGCCCCACAGGAAAGCAGAACATCTCCTCACACAGAGGAGCTCATTCAGTCTCTGTGGGCTGTCTAACGTTGGTTTCTCTGTGGCAGGAGTGAACAAAAACAGGCGCCAATTAGAAGGGTATTGCTTCTTCTGAAGATCCAAGTCATCTGGGCACAGTATGAAGACCATCAGATTACTTAGTGGAGGCCATCAAGCTCACAGAAGGTAATGGTTTTCTCTCATAGCCTTGGATTTTAGCTGGCCTTGGAAGGAAAGCTGCCTTCTGTTAAAACCTCCTTGCCTCTGCCTGTGCTGCTGTCAGTGGCTTTAATTCAGGAATTACCCTCCCACTTGTCCTTCCTTCTCCATCAAAATAACCATGACTCATATTTGTAAACACATTTTAATTTTTGGTAGAAGCACCAGAAAAAAAAGACAGAAATCCCCATCTACCCACCCAATCCCATCTGTACCTGATTTCCTGAACGGGCTCAGGGTTGACCTCAATGCTTTCTCCAAAAAACACCGGGTACATTCGAGGCCTTATCTCTGGCATGGACGGGTTCAGGAGCAGATAAGGCATCTGCAAGAGAAGGAGAGCACAGCAAGTGTTGAGACACAACAGATGGGGCTGGCACAGTTCATAACGTGCTGTGGCTGGCAGCTGAGCAGCCTAACACAACACCTGGACCGTCCTCACCTACCAACACCTCCCTCTGCCCCAGCACACCTCCCAGGTACGTGACTGTGCCCACATCTCTGTCACTTCATGCTGCAGTATCTGTTTGTTGAAATGTAACCTTGTCTTTCCTTCTTCTTATCTTGTTTCTCCTAGGAATTACAATTGTTTTCGAGTTTTCTTTAGCCCTGATATTGCCTTTACTGCTAGGAATTAACAAGTCTTAGAAACACTCAAAATGTGTCAGCATGGAGAAGTGCTCCATGTCTGACCTAACACAGCAATAGTGCCTAAGGCTGCTGACCTGAAGGATGTAGGTCTACTGAAGTGAGACATGTATTTTTAGAGATATAAATACAAATATGTACATAAATCATGTATCCCTTGCAACAATCCAGCAGAGGAAGTGACAGACTTGCTGTTCCCAAAGTCTCTGTGCCAAAAATGGCTCTTGAGCTGCAAAGGACATTCTTGTTAACCATAAAACTGGGGGTGGGGTGAGACACTGGGGCACCTTGTGGCCTCTGCAGTGCAGGAAGCCACTTGCAAGCCAGGACTTTATAATGAATGGAGTGGCTCCAATTCATGACACCAAAAACTGGATTTTTAAGACTAACTGCACCATGAACTAACTTACTCTGACAAATTGTCACGGACCAGCCTAGGCTCCTCTGCCCACCACAGAAACAACTAATCCCACTTCTCTATACTGGAGTGCTCCTAAACACCAGTTCCCACATATAGGGATCCTGTGTCTGGTGCCTGGACCAAAGCCAGCAGCTAATTCAGCCTAATCCTGCCCTCTTGGAAAAATGTCACTGCAGGTTTCAGTCTCTGCCACTACTTTTCTGTCAGCAGATATTTATGACACACAGGGACGCAGGATCTTTTTAAAGGAGATGGCTGGCAGCCTCTGTGCAGGGTCTGTAGATGGCTAGCTGAGGTCTGCTTTCCTCTACTGGTTTGGGCTTTCTCCTCAGGCTAAGGCAAAAAATGTCACTGCTCCATCTGAATTCGCCAAGCCCTTCAATTCTGTGTCCCAAAGCCACAAAGCTGTTTCTTCTTTTCATACTGAAATATCCCTGCACTTTACAACTGTGTAAAGTTGTACTATAAAGTAAAATGGCCAGCCCCTTTTCTTGATTGAATATTTCTGTTCCACTGTCCAAACAGAACAGTATCTGCATAGTTATGAGGGGGAAAAAAGAAAAAATATATATATGTTCGCCCTCCCTAGCAAACACTGGCCAAAAGGCAAAGTTCATTCCTGAATTGCTTTCAACACTCTTGACAGGGGAGAGCAAGGGCAGCTTTTCTGGTTGTAAATAAAGCTCTTTGCTTCTGAAATGTGAATTGTTTACATCAGACAAGCCTCAGTTCACAAGGATGCAGATGTCCAGCTTGTAACAGTCTGCACATGGCCAGATCTCTTTCTAAAGACATTTTGTACATAAGAAGAGGTCGATTTGGGTGCAGGAGTCAAACACCATTTGCACATGCTCATGAGCTTTGTGAACAGCAGGCAGGCTGCCCTTTGGGGGTTCACCTGCAGAGGGATGCAGATTGCTTGAACTGGTGAAGGAAACAAGGCTGGGGATACGTGTCCCTGTTTATAGAAGCAGTTTCAAAGAAATGCTTCCAGGCAAACAAGCCTTCACACTTCTTGCTAACAAATGCTGACACTAAGTGTGCTCCCAACATCCCCAGGATGCGGGAGAAGTTACCAAGTCTTTCCTGTGGCTTAGCAGGAGCATTGCTGGGGCATCTGGCCCCCGGTGTGTGCATGGGAAAAGCCTTCCCAGCCCGCTGAGCGCCGGGGGTGCTGCTCGGTCAGAGCGCAGCACAAGTCCCACAGCAGGGAACAGGAAACAAGAACACGCTGCAGAAACAACACAGAGGAACGGAGGAGCTGGCATGCATGACTGACATCAATCAGAGCCCAAAATCTGCCGCTGAACTTGGTGAGAGCAGGATTAAGTGTTCTCCAGGTTAGTTCTGGATGGGGCGGTGATGAGACTGTTTCCATTGGGGGTCACAGTTAACCTTGCTCTGGGCAGGGAAGGGTGGCAAAAGACATTTCACATGCTGTGGATGAGCAGCAACTTCAGAACTGCAGGCTTGGCTTAGTTTAGAAAGCTGGAACAACTGTGAACATTGGCAGGCCAAAGCCAGGATTTCTACTGCCTGTCGAGACCATTACAGACTCAGACCTCTCTTCTGTGAGCTGCTGCAGGTCAAAAACCTTGAAGTAACCTGAAAGTCTGCACATGGAAGATGTAAATAACTTACAAAGCATGGCCTAAAAATAGAGATCTCTAAGACCCTGCAGGCTGCTCACCAAATAGCAACTGATTTGCTTGCACAGCGTGAAGGGGTCACTAAACAGCAACCAAAGGTTTTACACAGCAGGCACTGAAAGGCACTTCAGGTGACATTTTGTTTTCCCTCCAGTGATGTTCTGAAATGTCGGCTCCTGCAAGTCACCTGGAGCTGGGAAGCAAGGAACAGGGGATATGAGCTTTCCAAAAGATTTGTCTTTGGGGCTGAAATGTTATATGCTTGGCACATGTCAAAAGCTGGCTTTTTGGCAAGAGTTTGACACCGACTCCTTCCAATCTGCTTTAAGGAAAAAAAACAGAAATATTTTGCCTGTCAAAAAAATACCGACTCAGTTCTTTTTCCTTCTGCAAAGGAATGGCTGAAAGAAGAGGAGCACTGGACTGCTGAGGTCCCTTGAGAAAATCAGGATCCCTGGCTCGTTTCCAGGAATCACTTGGTGATCTCCAGACACTCCAGAAATAAGGTAGGTTTCTGTACTATCCTGCAGTGTGGATAGACTGGCAGGGAGCAGAGCTTGCTGCACACTCCTGGAGGTCACTGATGGTGAAGAGGAGAAGCCCACATCACTCTAGACCAGGCTGTCCACAAGTGATCCATAGCCGAGGTCTGTCTGTCCAAGGGTTGCAGTGCTGGAACGCTGCAGTGGTGACTTGATTCTTCTGTCCCCAGTAACTGGAGCTGTGCTTGTACTTACCAGATGCAGCTTCACAAAAGACACCACAACCCTGTCATCTTTAAGGACAGAAGGAGTCTGGTAGGCAAGGAAGGTTGAGGAGACAAAATGAAAGATACTGGAGACATCAAAAAAGTGACTCCCATGTTTACAACTTGATCCAAGGTGACTATTAGGCAGTAAATGAGCTATTATTTTTATTTCCTTTCCAGTACACAATTTGTGTCAACCAGCAAAGAGTTACAGTATTATTAAAAAGTTGAAGAGCTTTCTTGTTTGGCTGCATTTTTCCCTCTGCCTTAACTCTGATGCCTTTCAGGCATGTAACGGCCTGGGCAGCTAAACTCTGCTTTTTGCAAGTAGCAGATAGATAAACACAGATAAAATTGGTTGCTGAACGGAATTCAATCTACAGTTCAACAACAGCATCGACTGTTCTTTAGCTGCCAAATTCCAGGCAGCAAAGCAAGAAAAAGGAAAGGAAATTAACGTGACTTGAAATAAATAAACCTCCAAAACCTTCCCCCAGAGAGCACAAAGAACCAGAACTGACCGACCCCTTTCGCTATGGTCGTTATATGGAAGTCACTAAGATGTGGCATTATATCTCTAGGGACTGTAAGGGGAAACAGCTTTCCAAGTGTCAGGGCTACAAACAGGATACAGCTTCCCAAATTCCCAGCTCCTAACTTAGCTAGGGCATAAGCAAATCTCTCACCACATTTTCCCACTATGGTAACATGTCAGGTCCATGAAAATGTCACTTTACTCAGCTGTTATTTACAGCTATAATGAAAGATCTGGCTGAGTTATTTGACACACATCTACATTCTCCGCTCTAGCAGATAAGCAATATTTGTTTAACAGACCATTTATTTTCCCAATATCTGCACGTATTGCACATTACGAGTAATTTATACCAGAGCCGGATGAGATTATATTGGGAGGTGATAACAGCAAATGCAAACCTCAGGTAGAAAGCAGGGCTTTATTATTTCAAAGAATTACATCCTTCCTGCTTATCTTTTATTTCAAGTGGGAAATGTGTGCTGCTTTGCTTATTATCCACAGGGTTACCTAGGGACACAATGGAAATTCAACAGCTAGAAGATATCACCCTCAATGTCTTTCATCAGAGCCACACTTTCCAGAGCAGATGATGAGATGCTGATGGTTGTTTCCCTGATCTGCCCAGAAGGGACACCTGTCAGATCAGGTGAGGCAGATCAAGTGAGGGCCAGAGCCATTCCCTGTCCTTCACCAAGGAGGAAGAGGAGTGGGTCCATATCCAGAACTGGATGAGGGACAGGGAACAGCCAGGTGAGATAAGCCTTTACCTGGAGAGGACACAGGCAGGGAACCGAAGCTGGGGGAATTCCTGCAGGATCCAGCCCCGTGGGAGTGGCTCAGAAGTGGGTCAGGATGCCAGGCTGCCAAGGAGCCCCAAGGCAAACCCTTCTGTGGTGCCAGATGGGTGCCTTGCTGCCCACACCAGCCTGGGGCTTCTCCAGAGCTGCTGGGACCCACATGGCCTTGGGAGTCACATCCCCTGCCCTGTGTGCAGGTCGGGGTGCTGGGCCTCCCTCTCACGTGTGCTTTCAGTGTAGGTGTTGGCAGGTATGGAAATTACCTTGGGAAAACCTTTGCTGGCCATGTTCCCCACCCAGTGCCCACAAGACACTGCCCCATTCCTGAAGCACTTTCAGTGTACAATGAGATGCTGGCTCTGTGACCCAAGGGGTCTTCAAAATGCTGCATGTCAGGAAGAGATGTTCTGTGTTTTTTGTTTATTTTTAATATGAGCCATTAATCCAACAGGGCTGGCACAAATGCTGACTTGGACCACATTGTTGGGACCCCACTGTTGTCACCAAGGGGCAAAGTCTCCTTCTCCATACTTGAGATGAAGCTGGAATCTCCTCCAGATCACCACCCCCAAGAGTGAATCTGAGTCATTCTTGCTGCTGAATGTAAGTAGAAATTCCCTACATCCCTACAGCTGGGATACAGTCCCACAGAAGTCAGTGCTCAGTGAGGTAGGTTGTGTGCACAGATATTTAAGTCTTACAAAGTAACAGGAAGTCATTGCAGTGGCAAAAGCTCCTTGTACTGTTGGGAAGGAACATAAAATCTGCTGCTTCAAGAAGGCACGATGGATAGTTCTGCAGATGAATGTGAGCTTCATGTCCCCTGATATCCATTAGGAGTTGTGTGATGAATGCAAAGCACTTATTTCAGCACAGTCCAAAAGCAGTTCTTCTAGCCTAAATCTGTATCCCAGGGCAAGAACAACAGGGAAAACTTTGATGTCATTTCATTCCCCACACTTTCAGCAACTGCTTCTTTGTGCATATTATTAGGGATTTATTTTGTTGTACTTCTGTTCCTTTTGACCCAGCTTTACAGACACAGTCTAGAGAATTCAGTAACCAGAGTCATAAGAATCAATTTAATAATGTTTCAGATTTAAAAGGCAGAACTAGGTAAAAGTCACCTTCTATTTTCCTTAGGATATTTGCACTTAAGCACGAAATACTTGACAAATTCCCTACATGGACTTTATTTGAAGAAATAAAAGCCAATTTATCCTGCACTACAAGTAAAATGAAAAAAAAAAGTCCCTAAATGGTGTTGAACTTGTGGTATTTATGACTCTGGCCCTAAATTGCCTTTCATATTTTCTTGGATCCCAAAGCTGCTCCCAAATTGGCTGGTTAAATGTGAATAAATGGTGCATTGTCTTTGAAACAAAGTTGTGCTTATTAAAGAGCAGAGAGTTTACTTTTTCAGAGTCACAGTTAATAACACAGAGCGGACAGAGCACAGATTTTACACACAAGAAAGTCTTCGATAAGGGCATGCAATCTCCTTTCAGTCTGTATGAGAAGGGCTGTCCTAAAGCAGAAAAATTTTGTAACATATTTGTGAAGTTGGAGCAAAATAGCTGACTGCAGAAGAATGCAACTGGGTTCAGACTGGTGGCTTGATAGTTCTGCAGCAAAGAATAGTACAAAATACTTCGCTCAGATCTGGAATGTTGTTTCCTTCACCTGACAGCAATTTATTGTAACTGTACGTACTAGAACCTTGGCTGTTGGTGACTGGGCTTAAATATGGTTTTATAGAATTCCAACACAAAGAGTGGAGGTTGTGTTCCTGGCTCTGTCACGTTTATAAAGCAAAACAAACACTAATATAACAGGCAATTAAAAGCAGCATTTCTTGGTGTGCAAATAGCTGCAATTATTGATTTGCCAATTCTGCACGCTCTGATGAACAGCAGAGGAATAGACTTAAACAGAAGCACATTCATGGGTTGCATAACTGCTCATAGATCTGCAAGCCCTTGTAAAACGGCAAAATTAAAGCTAATTAGACACTGCAATTTGGAAGTATGAAGCAAGCAATGCTCTTCATATTTTTCCTGCTTTAATATCAGCTGCAAGTACAGTATTTGCACAGTGGAAATGAGAGGAAGTGAAACTCTCTGTAGTCAAATAGAGTGAAAATTCCTATTAACTTCATTATTTTGCAGTGAACCAAACAGTTGAAGAGCAGAGCCCAGCACCACTCTAAATAATACAGTCCAACTGCTTTCAGCATTTGGACCCCTGCAACCTTCTGTACCTGCTAAGAGCATGGAATTCCATACATTCTCCATGTATGGAACCCATACTCTAAGCAGGAGCCCAGGCTCCCTTGCAATGTGATACAGAATTTAGAAAAAACTATAGTGTGAGCTTCCCTGAAGTGCTTAAAATGTTCATTAATAATCAAAACAATTGAAAAACTTAATTTTACCTTATACAGCTCACAGGAACAACTTTTTTCCCTGTAGGAGTCAAGAACTAAAACTCTCAATCCTAACAGCCCATGAACTGAAATAAGTTTTCTCATGTTCTTTTTTCTTCAATATCTAAGGACTTTCTTGGATGGTGTGATAGCCAACTGTTAGATGACTGGAATGGAGACTGTCATATCCCCATTACAGAGTTTTGCTGACACCTCCCTCCCTGCCGTTTTTTGGTCCAAGCAGCCTTCACTCACCTTCCTCCCTCATTTTATTTTACAGACACATAGCAACAGCCTGATCCTGCCAAATCAGAGGTGTGTGGGTAACTTTGTACATAAACACTCCCATCGAGATGGCACACACGCCCAGGCATCTGCAGGTAAGGCTCCATATTAGGAACTGCGGCGTGAGCAGGTTTGAGATTTGACTTTCACAATAACACCTCACACCCTCTCCACTGTGAGGAGTCATTGTTCATGGGGAAGGTTTTGGCATGTTCAGGAGTAAAAGGCTGTTTTCAGTAATATGCTCAAAAGGCCTTAAAACTTGAGAAAGTGCATGAGGGTGTGAGGAGTCATTGCAAAATGTCTCTATGGGAAAGAAGTCTTTGAATTGTCACTAAACCATAGGTAGATAATTTTTTCTCATGGACATATTTGTGCTGCAGTTTTCATTCCATATAGAAGCCAATTAACCGCGTTGAATACACCTACAAACATCTTTTATACATGTTTAAAAAAAAATTTTAAAGAGCCCTGGGGAAGAACTTTCATCATCCTTTTAAAAGCTCCACCACCATTGCTTATGGTCTGAACGCTGTGTTTTAAAAACGAGTTTTATAGCTCAGGGATAGAAATAAACAAATAAAGCAAAATAATAGCCTTCATAAATCTACCCAAATCCTACTCCACATTCAACCGCTTCACTGGCAGTGCATCAGGCTGAGCGAGACCTGCAGTGCTCTGCCAGCTGTCTGGGTTTACAAACCACCGCCAGCGGACAAACCTTTCACACAGGCTCATGCCAGAAAGCCCGGCTCCAGCAAAGGGCAGCAGCACACAGCCCTTGCCAGACCCTGTCCCGCAGCAACTCCCCGGCCACACATCCCTACCCTGCCCCAGCTAAAGGGCACTTTTGTCTTTCTTTCAGCCACGGCTCCAGCAAACGTGGCTCCACGCTGCTCACAACCCAGATGCGGGATGCCAGGGTGTAATGATGGCTGGGAGCCCGACGCCCCTGCCTCGCTCCGGATGGATGCAGCTCCAACCTGTACCTACCAGGCAGAGCACTGTCACTGAGAAACAATTACACTTTTCTGTTCCTAAGGTGGGCAGGGGAGCTTGCTTCAGACTGGGATTTCACTGCCACACCGTTATTAGACTTCACCCAGCCAAACTGCCAACACTCTGTGAGTGCATCCAAAAAACCCTGCCCGGCGCTGAGCCAAGCCCTGCCTGGCACAGCAGCGGCGCTGCCAACACCGGACTGCAGCCCGGAGTGCCCTCGGCCGGCGAGGGGAACTCAGCCCAGGGGTGCCCAGGCAATGAGTGGTCACAGGCGCCCTCCTGCCTGCCCCCCGCTGCGGGGCTCGGCCAGCCTTCCCCGTGGGGCCGGAGGGGACAGAGCCCGGTGCCCGGCTTTGGCTCTTACCACTTTGCCGTCCTTGGCCTCTCGCCGGTGGCCCGGGGCCGGGGGGTCCGCACCGCCGCTGCCCCCTGCTCGGCTCTCACCGGGCGACAGGGAGTAGAAGGGGGGGCTGGGGCTGGGGGGCAGCCCCGAGTCCGGACTGTCCAGCAAGCCTTCCCGGCTCTTCTCCTTCAGGCTCTCGTCCATCCCTTGCAGCTGGAGGTGACCTACCATGTCTGGGGGACAGCGAGGGGGCCGCGGAGGGAGAAAATCCTCCAGCGCCGCCCGCCGCGGAGGGAGGGAAGGGGAAGGGAGCCCGGGGGGCCCCTCCTGAGTCCCGACCGCCGCTACCAGCCTGCCGGAGCGCGGTGCTGCGCGGGGCAGCGCCAGCATCAGCCAGACCGGGGTGTCCCGGCCGCCTCCCCTCCACCGGCCCTGGCCCTGCCCGTCCGGCCGCCCCCGCCCTCAGGCGTTCCCGGAGGAGGGAAGCGAAGCCCGATCTCCCCCCGCCCAGCCCCGCGGGGACGCGGCCGAGGACGCGGGCAGCGCCCGGGGCGGCCCCGCCGGCAGGGAGCGCTGGGCGCGGATGGGGACGGGACAGGGATGCGCCGCGCTCGTCCACAGCCTGCGCCGCCCGCCGCCTCCCGGCCGCTCATTTATCCGGAGAGGGTGGGAGGGAGCCGGGGAGCGCCCTCCCCTTCCCCCGGCCCCCCAGCTCTGTCCCGGCCGCGCGTTCTCGGGCGATTCCCAGGCGCGGAGCGCGGCCGGCGCCGCCCGCCCGCCCTCTCCCTCCTGAGGGGACGGGGCAGCCCCCGCGCACGGCCGGCGGCACAGGGGAGTCCCCACACACCTCCCCGTGGGCTGTGCCTGCCCCGTGCTCATCCCCTCACCGCTCTCCGAGTTTTCCCTCAGTTACGTTCATTTTCCCCCTCCGTTCGGATTTTTGTCCCTCTTCGATCTCTGCACGCTCCAAGGCTGGGAAAGGGGCCTCGCCACATACAACACGCCATCACAGGGGCACAGCTTCCCTCAGCTCATTCCCTCGCTGCTGTCCCAAGTTTTCCAGCACTCAGAGCTGATTTCCCTCTCATTTTCATCGGTTCTGATTTTCATTATCCATCTTTCAGCCCTACACCCCTAAAGCAGCCTTTCCCTTCAGTGTCGTGGCTTGTGGGCATGAGGGAAGAGACTTTCCTCTTGAGAACCGTCGTCCCTCTTTGCTTTGAGGTGGCAAAGGGCAGCTTCACCAAGGCCACAGGTCGCCATGGCAGTCTTGGCTACCAAGGTACACAAACCCCTCATGGCAGCCCTCACCCTTCCTGCTCTCTCACGCCTCTTTCTTTGGCTCCACAGCTTCTGGTCCACAAACAGGGAGTCGACCTTCCTATCCCAGCCATTGTGTGGTCAAGACCACCGTAAACACCATGGAAGGGCATCCCAAATGGCAGCACAGCCTCTAGCCAGGAGGAGCAGCACGGAGGGGAATGGAGAGTCCGTATCAACCCTCAAGGTTCAGAGAAGCAGCAGTGGTTAAACAGGTCAGGCTGGCTGAAGCCAATGTGGTCATTTGTTGCACAATAACCGGTTGAGGCTAATGTTACCTTGTCCACAACCCTGGTTGTGTTTTTCTCATCATGTTTTCTCTCTAAAAGAGTCTAGACTGTGAGAAATCTGGGGCAAGCCCACTCATATGGCTCAGCTCAGTGGAGCTTTATTCATGGCAAATAGGTTTCCATGGGAAGCTGTTGAAATCTAACTGGCCTTCACTTGGTCTGAGTTATTGGCCCAGCACCCAGTGGAATGATACTGTGTTTGTGCTGCAAAATGGACAAACACAATGCTTGTTGTGGCAACGAGTGAAAATATGAGGGTCTAATACTGTATCTAGGGAAAAGACTTCACATCCAAACTGCAAAGATGGTGCAAAGTCCTTGGAAGTTGGGTTGAACTTAAAAGTGCCCCCACTGCACCCTCCTGAGGGAGCAGATCTCACTCTAGGGTGGTAAAGCTGGATTTGTTTAGATGTGTTTTTGCTCAAGTCAAAAGGAAAGGCTAAGGATGCCCAAATCCACCTTTAACTCAAATGAGGGGCCCTCCTCAGAGTGACTGAAGCAATTTGTATGCACTGAGCTGTACAGAGGAATGTCACTGATTTGTAAATGTCAAACAGGCACCGAGCAGCCCACACACAAACCTCAGTGAATTCTTACCTCTGACCCACTCGTCGGCTCCAGCAGCTGCACAGGCTGATTTAGAGCCCCTTACTGTAAGGGCTCTCATGTCTCATACAGGCTACGGCTGATCTGAAAATGTCAAAGGGGACTGAAGGTCAAAATTTCCATAAATTAGTCCCTGGCTTGCTACCTATCACATAATAGGATTCTCTGGCCAGTTAACACTGTGAAGTCAGGCATTCAGCCCAGCAGTTCCCCTGCAGCCCAGTTCCCCTGCCCCTCTCCTGAACTGGCTCAAGACCATGTGTGCAAGGGGAAGAAGTGTCTTCAGAGCTGCTTTCCTCCTCGGAGAAAAAAGGAGCGTGACAAAGAGACACTGGGCAGGGGTGAGTGCACTGTCCTTTCGTCCTAGAAAGCCCTGTTTTAGCCTGGGGAGCAGTTGAGGGGGGACTGGTTTTCTGTTTCTTGTTTTGAGAAAACTGCAATTCGATCTTTCCCAGACCTAAATATTGTGTATTTCTAAAGGTAGATTTCAGTACAACATGCGTTCAGCTCAGAAGTGGTTGTTATGGTTTAGGAGTTGCTGAGCTCCAAATAGCTGAAGACACGAAGCACTGCTGAGCATCCCCCAGCACAGGTAGGAATGATGACTTCACTTATGAGTGACAAAACTGCTTCTGGTTCTGCAGGGCATGTGTGCACACACCTAATGTCGATATTGTTATTGTGGTTGTTGTTGTTCTGCAACGCCAGTGTGTGCTGTGTTGGTATTGTTGTTGTTATGGTTATGATTAGTAATCTGTTTAAAGTTAGTAGTGGATTGCTTACCCAAGTTGGAGCTCTCTTGTATAAAGCACAGGGCAGGCAGGTGGTAAGAAATGTTCCTGTCCTGATGGTTGTGATGAAAATGACTCAGACTTTGGTCAGAGTCCTCCCGGAGTCACACTATCTTCCTTTTGGCCAGCAAAACTGAATGGAAACTGAATGGAAACTGAACGGAAACTGAATGAAGGATTCAATGTGCACACTCGGGTGTATATATGGCGTGGTAGAATTAGGCCTGGTGAAGCAGGATTTAAATATTGCACAGTGCCCTATCGAAGGAGAAAAGGAGAAAAACAAGATTTTTCAGCTGAGGCCATGTTGCTTTACTGAAACCCTCCTTAGTTCAGCATTTCTTAATTTGCTGGAAGAAATCACTAGGGACTGGTACATTCCTGTGTCTTGGCTTGGGAAAAGGGAAACTGGGCCCTTGTGTGTATGGTGGGACAAGGAGGAAGGAAAAGTCTGGAGGGGAGTTTGCTGAAGCAGCTGAGTGGAGACAAACAGGTGCAAGCACAGTGGTACAAGGGCAGCAGTGTGAAGGCACAGCCTGGGGGAAAGTGGCCTCCACCACCAGCACTATCTCCAAATGAAAAACCCTGCCTAGCTGTGGATTTGAGTGTAAAACAACTGTAAATGAGGAGTAGAGAGTCAAGTAGCAGAAAACTAGGGAATATTCCAGTAGGACTGTATCTGTTAAGATTTACTCTCAGGCAGTGGTGCAATCCTGACAACAACAATTAGAGGGCTTTTAGAAGCACACATTTCTCAGATCTTCTGCAAATTTCTTTTTCATTGGTCTATTTGTTATAAAATACAAAATCCCAGGCCTAGTCCTGAAACAGGTGGGAGGTCATAGGAGAGGGACTGTGTGGACAGTGGGGGCGGGAACCCAGACAGCCCTGATGTGAGCAGCCCTGCTTCTGGATAAAAGCTGGTATCCTTCCTCAAATCCACTGGGATTCAAGCCTCTCCATGCTTTTATGAGTCCTCTGCCTTCTGTTTTCCTAGCTAATTTCTTAGCTAGATTTGAGTACTTTGGGAATCTGCCGTCCCACAGACATGGCAGAGAGTCAGCATCACGTGCTAAATTTCCTTCCACTGCTGCCAGGCTTGAAAGACAAATACAGTGAGGGAAGAAAGAGACAGGATACAAACACCTACATCAGGACTTTTTCTGAAGCAGGCTGGGTGGCAAAACGGGAAGAATGCTAGGAATGTCCATTCTGGTTCAGTGTCGAGCCCGAGCCTTGAGAACACCCACAGTGTAACTACAGTCCCAGTAAGAATGGATGTAACTGTGCTCTCTGGTTCCCTCCAAAGAAGTGCAGATTTCCCTCTCTCCCATGGGTTCCTGACATTAGTGTTGAAAGGCACCAAAACAGCAGCATCACTGAAGGGGAATATGACCACAGAGCAGGACTCAGGGAGGTCAGACCAGACTACCCTTGCCTGGCACACTGCAAGTTGTTCACCTCAGCCCAAAATGATTCAAAGCACGAGGGTGTCAAAGCACTGCTCGCTGCACAGGTCCAGATGTGATACAAAGAGCATGAAGCACATCCATAGTGCTGGACCTGGAAACCACATGCCAATAATGATTAATTTTGCAGTGTGGCAGAGTTCAAATCAAAAGAACCTTTCCGCCTGAAAAGCAGAGGCTATTTATCAAGAGATAAAATCACCTCCTGATAGGTCTACTCGTTTATTTTTAGGCAGCCCCTGCATCAGAAATTTTTTCAACCTCGACTCCCCAGTCCTGGCTGTCTGCTCCAGTGAAGGCCACAGCCCCCTCAAGTGATGGCTGCACCTGCTCTGGCCCTGCTACCCTCACCAGACAAACAGCCCTCCTAGCAGTGACTTGGAACAAGCTGTCTGGCAGGAAATGGGAATGAAAAGCACAAAAACCTCCTTTTCTGGGGTCAGGAGTGCCTGTTCTTGGCAATAAATCAAAGGAAGCAAATTTCCTTTGAATAGCCTGGACTTGAATAAAGACGGTCCATCTCCCAGACAAGGCAGTAGACTTTGTGACTGCAGGAAAGAAGGATGATCTTTGAAGAACATGCACAGGGTTGTATGAGAATGTTACCTTTTCATATTTGACTGCAGTGTGTAGATTTGTGCCACAATCCAGACAAAAAACCCCAACTGAACACTGTATTACAGAATGAGCAAAGGCTCTGGAGCACAAAAAAATTATCAAGACTTCTGCTGACCCTGCTTTCCTTTGAGTAGGGTGCCACATGATGAGTATTCAATTGCCTGTGTGTCCAGTCAGAATTCACTGATATTGTTACATACCTGAATCAAAACACACCTCCCTGCCTTACTGCGCTACAGAAGGAGCTGCCTGTTATCCTGTGAAATTTCCTCTGCTTGTCTGTCAGGGCTGCTGTG